AGTGGGACGGGGAAGACATGAAATCGTGATTAGACATCACGTATGCCTCCTCTGTGTGCATGCTGTGCTGAGCTGCAACAGCAGATCAGCTGGGAAACAAACAATTCTTTCCCGTAGAACAGGTTTGCAGGGTGGGGGACTTCATTCTTTAAAGCTACTTTCAAGGCTTACAAAATTCTTAACGGGCAGATCCTAGACGAGGATTTGACAACTGTGCCTTTGACACAGACACCAGGTAATTTCTTCAAAGGACAGAGAAGATGCCATTTCCGTAATCCACCCAGGTCATGGGAGGCAGCTGGTGAAAAAGGGAACAGAGTGGTGGCTTGGGGTGTCTTCACCTCAGCTCTAAGGATGGGCCTGGAGTCTGTCGGTGACAGCTCACACATATAAGTGGGAGTCAGGTACAAATTTTCAAGGAGGGGAACACGTTTCATCAGAAAGCCTGAAGGAAGCTCTACTTACCAGGGAGTTCATCCCAAAGCAAAAAATCAGACAAGTATATCCACTGAAAGATTACTGAAACCAGGGATTCAGACAAGTGGCCACTATACCACCATAGGGTTATTTTCTCACAAATTCATACATTTGAATCTCTCCTGAACCACCACTATGCCTCAGCATTCTTTTCTTAAAAAAAGATTTATTTATTTATTTATCAGAGAGAGAGCAAGCATGAGGGGGAGCGGCAGGCAGAGGGAGAAGCAAGCTCCCTGCTGAACAGGGAGCCCGATGTGGGACTCGAACCCAGTACCCTGGAATCATCACCTGAGCCGAAGGCAGACGCTTAACCAACTAAGCCACCCAGGCGTCCCTGCCTCAGCATTCTTAAGAAAGAAAAGAAGAGATGGAATGTGTCACTGGTGACTAATCTTTCCTTAAAGCTAACAGAACTTAGAACAATAATTTCTTCCAAGACGAAGATGACTATCTCTCCTAGGCAGACCTAATATTTTCAATTGTCTATTAAAAATTAAAACATCTCTGTATACATATACCACATCTTCTTTATCCATGCATCTGTTGATGGACATCTAGGTTCTTCCCATAGTTTGGCTATTATGGAATATTATGCAGCCATCAAAAAAAATGAAATCTTGCCATTTGCAACGACGTGGATGGAACTAGACGGTATTATGCTAAGCGAAATAAGTCAATCAGAGAAAGAAAAGTATCATATGATCTCACTGATATGAGGAATTCGAGAAACAAGACAGAGGATCATAGGGGAAGGGAGGGAAAAATGAAACAAGACAAAACCAGAGAGGGAGAAAAACTGTAAGAGACTCTTAATCTCAGGAAACAAACTGAGGGTTGCTGGAGGGGAGGGGGTGGGAGGGATGGGGTGGCTGGTGATGGACATTGGGGAGGGTATGTGCTATGGTGAGCACTGTGAATTGTTTAAGACTGATAAATCACAGACCTGTACCCCTGAAACAAATAATACATTATGTTAATAAAAAAAATTAAAACACCTCTTCATGGCAAAGTAATTATACACCAATGGGACAGGCTTGTGATGTCTAAACAAGGATATACTTTCCCTCTGACTGTATCAGTCAGGGGTCTCCAGAGAAACAGAACCAATAGGAGGTACGTGTACATATGTGGAGAGAGCAGGGATTCATTCTAAGGAACTGGCTCACATAATCATAGAGGCTGACAAGTCTCCAGATCTGCAGGGTGAGTGGGCTGAACCTGGCTAGAGACCCAGGAGAGCTGATGGTTCAGTGCAGTCCTAAGGCAGGAAAAAGCCAACGTCCTAGACTCCAAGGCCATCTGGTAAGAGGAAATCCCTCTTATTAGGGGTAAGGTTCCATTTTATTCTACTGGGGCCCTCAACTGATTGGATGAGGCCCACCCACCCTGGGGAAGGTGATCTGTTTTATTCAGTCTGACTCAAATGTTAATCTCATTCAGAAACACCCTCACAGACACAAGCTGGAATAATATTGGATCGAACGTCTGGACACCCCCATTGACACATAAACGTCACCATCACAACTCCCCACATGCCCGGTGGTTGACAAGACAGGGACAATCAGCTCAAGGGGTGCTGGAAGCTGTGAAGGGCAAATACTCAGGGAGGAGAAAGATGCGGCTGACCCCATGGGGAAGGGATGTGTTCTCGAGTCTCTCCTGTTCCTTCCATCTAAAGGCCATTCTCGGTGGGCTCCCTCCGAGGGAGCCTTTAATCAAGGTCACCACGCAATGCACGATGAAGGCTGCGTACCACTCTGCATCTCCCAGAACGGCTACAGTTCTAGTGCTGACCCTGTCAAATACCGACACTTCCAAGTGCTGGTGGGGCACCTGGACCTCCCAGCCTTTGCTGGAGGGACCGCTATCCTGTGCGGCCGCTTCAGGAAATCGCTCAACAGTTTCTCATAAAATTACACATGCAGTTACACACTCATGGGTATTCATCTAAAATAAATGAAAACTTGGGGTGCCTGGGTGGCTCCGTTGGCTCAGCCTCTGACTCTTGGGTTTTGGCTCAGGTCATGATCTCAGGGTTGTGGGATCGAGCCCCGTGTCGGGCTCTGAGCTTGGCGGGGACTCTGTTTCAGATTCTCTCTCCCTCTCCCTCCTGCTCTTGCGCGCTCTCTCTCAAATAAATAAAATCTTAAAAAAAAAAAAAAAGAAATCAGAACTCGAGATCGAACAGAAGCCTGTAAGTGAATGTTTATAGCAGCTTTATTCATGATCACCAAATACTAGAAACAACCCAAATGTCCTTCGGGGGTAAGTGGACAAACACGAATCCATGTAGCAGAATCCCACTCAGCAATAAAAAGGAGCGAAACACACGTGTATGAATCTCAAAAGTAATATGCTGAGTGAAAGAAGCCAGTCTCAAAAGGCTGAATATTGTATCATTCTATTTATAGGACATTTTTGAGAAGACAGAAGAACTTAGCGGTTGCGAGGAGGTAGGGGGCCGAAGGTGTGTGTGACTATAAAGCAATGAGACAAGGGAGCTGCGGGGGAGGGGATGGGACTATTCTGAATCCTGATTTAAACATGTGTTAACGTCCTAAGACTTGCACACCCCTCCTCCAGCATCAGATTAACTATATATTTTAAAAAATTGTAAAAATCAAGTGGATAAAAAAAATAGTTGTATGTCACCCAATTGACGCACAGGATAAATGGACCTAAGGGGAAATGTCTATGTTATGGGGTCAGGCATCAGCAGCTGAGTCCAGAACATGCCCAGGCAAGGGGGAGCCAGAAGGGCGGGAAGGCACAGGTGTCACCCTACAGGTTGGGGTATAATGAGGATAAGCGACATTCCTGAGTCACTGGGCACAACCTAATAATTCTCTGAAAAGGCAAAACAGCTGTGATCTGTAACATTTCTTCCCCAGGAATTTTGTATTCATTAGCCTCTTACAACGGCCTTAAGACAGGAAATGCAGGCTTATGGACAGTAAAGGATTGGCCTGGATTTTGATCTTGGTTCTGTCTGGTTCGCAAGTCGCCACATAAAGCAAGGATTACACTGTGACACGTCTCTTTCCTTGGCTGTACCCCAGCAAGCCCCTTAATCCCTTGTGCTCTTAAAGCCTGGCTCTTCCTGAAAGCAGGGGTTCTCAATGGGGAGAAGGGGGTGTTCTGACCCCAGAGGACACGTGGCCTTGTCTGGAGACAGTTTTAGTTGTCACAGCCCATGGCAAGGGTGCCACCAGCATCTAAGGGTCGAAGCCAGAGATGCTGCTAAATATCACACAAGGCACAGGATGGCCCCTGAACAAAGAATTACCCAGCCCCAATGTCTCTAGGGCAGAGGTTGAGAACCTTCTGGTTTAAAGGGAGGAAGGAAAGATGTCCACGAATCAGACACTGTGCTAGGTATCGTCCAGTTCTCAAGTCACCTATTTCCTCAAGACCCTGCGGGGGTAGCTATCATAACCCCAATTTATAATTAAGCAAGTTGCTGCTCAGACCCATAAAAAAAGTACCCACATCCCAGTGAGAGACAAGAAGCTGTGGGCACCCTCAGGCCCCTGTGAGGGCAAAGCCCAGAGTGCCTGCAGTGTGGGGCCCCTGGGGCTAGGCTGGGCCCTCCATAAAGCCCCCTTCACTTCCTTCCATCCCATCTGGTCTCAAAAATCATCTCCTAACCCTAAGAGATCTGCAAACACAGGGAGCTGTTTGGCTGGCAGAAGACCAGATCTGAATTCCGGAGGCCCCAGGAAACAAGCAGGGCCTATCAATGCTTAAGAACCACCCAGGACTGGTGTGTCACCCTGGCTTCTTCTGCTCCATCCGTGGTTCCTGCCCTCAAGGCCCTGATGCCTCCCCTCCGTCCCCACAGCCCAGAGGCATCCCCAGCCAGGTGCTCCTGGGGAGCTTCCTCTCCTCCCCGCCAGCCGGCTTCTTTGCGAGGGGTGGGACGCTCAGACGGGGGCCTGGGGACAGAGAGACGCATCGCAGAACAACACGCTACAGTCTGTTGCCCATAACCACATCCGACAGGCAGGGCCTGCCCAAGAAAATAAGCGAACGGCTTTAAAAACAAGTCCTATAATCACCTCTGAGTGGTGCTGGTTCAATTTTACCCTCTCATGTAATTAGAGTTGACAATTCCAACAGCTGAGAATGGAGGTGGGGGGTTAAGATGGAGGCAGGAGGAAGAGAAGTAGAAAAACCGAGGGAAGGCAGAGGAACAGCGAGAAGAGAAAAAGAACATAAGCTTAAAGTTGACCAGACAGCTCAGGAATCCGATGACGTCATGACAAAGGAAGAGGAGCCCCAAGATTTGGGGACCCTCTTGCAAGTCGGGTGGCACTACATTCACGGAAGCCGCTCTTCAGCATTATTCTAGAGAACCTCAGACGGGTCTCGGGCAGGCAGCACGCGGTTGTTCTCGGATTTGGCAAAGCAGAGTTAATTCCTGTCCCGCCACAGGGCAGCCGTGGGCTGACCTCAACGGCCCTGACCCCCCCAACCCCGTGCCTCCCCGGCCCCACCACAGCCACGCGGACAGCACTCACAGTTCTAAGATCAGGATGACATCCGTCTTGTTCTCGTAAACCTCATGTAGGGTGATGACGTTGGGGTGCTGGATCTCCTTCAGGATGCTGACCTCCCGCTCGATGTCCTCGCGGCTCACGCCCCGCCGGCTGGATTTCGTCCTCCTTTTCTTGATAAACTTGGCGGCATACTGTAGACCAGTGCTTTTCTCCCGGCATTTCTTCACGACTGCAAACTGCCCACTGCAGACAGAGGATGAGAGGTTACAGGTCATTTACACATTTCTTTATTGCTCCCTACAAAACCCAGGATTTGAGCACGGATGTGGCAAGGATGTGGCGTGGTACGAGCAAGGAGGGGCCGTGGAATGGTGAGTAGGAAAGTCCGTAGTGTGGGAAATTAACAAATCAAGCAGGGTTATTTCTTAATTACGTTTCCATTTCATTAAACCTGTTTCTTTAAGAATAATGTTGCAAGCAATACAGATAATCTTGTCTTGAAGAATATTTTATTGAAGGGGGAATGATGCCTCCATTTCTGTGCTTCTTCCTCCCTCCCATTTCAGACTCTGGGATAGCAGGAAGGAGCTCCCCAACCCGACCTCCTCCTGACAAGCCTTTCTCCTGTATGTCCAGGGAAAACAAGGGATTAAGATGAGCGAACTGAGAAAAATACATAGAGCCCTCCTTTCGATGACCTATTTCTAGCACCAATATTTATCGATTTAAACATCTAGAATTTAAAAAAAGCTATGTATTTTGTTCACACCTCAGGGACTGGTTAGCCATATACACTTGACATTTGTTGGTGGCTTCTCTGGCATTACCTCCTTCTCTCCTTTCTAGGGATCCTGCACTTCTGAGGAAGCTGACTCCACACCCCACCCACAGATATGCATCTTGTGACCTAGGCTAAGCCAATCAGTGTACTGTATCTTCCTGGCTCCAGTGACAGGCACATGACCTAAGTGAGACCTTTTGGAGAATGCAGAGACAAAGACCTTTTCTGAGACTCTTCTCTCTTCTGGATATGAACACTTAACTACATGACCCCAGTCGCTGCTTCCAGCCATCGTGGGACCAGGGGCAGGTCCACTCTTGGTTTAAAGCCAACCATTGCAGAGGCAGAGCCAGTAGAAGAAAAGGAACCAGGTTTGTGGTAACACTGTGAAATGGCTGGATCAACCCTAGCCTGAAAGCCATCTGCCTTTGGATTTTTCAGCAACAGAAGCCAATAAATTCCCTTTACTCCTAAAGCCAGTTTGATTTGGGCTTTCAATTTCTTGCAGAGGAAAGCATCCTATACATCCTATGCCACGGCATGGAACCCAGAGCCTCCTACCTATACATGAAAGAATAACAGAACTTAACACTAAATGATAAAATGAATACATAAGCAGGGAAAGTCTTGAGAGGTCAGTAAGCTACCCTGAAAGTAAGTGAAACACAATACAAAGGACCCTTCCTGTAATAATGCTGGCACCTCGCTTCTTCCCCAGAGCCCAAAGTAGGGTGGATCCACCCATCACAGGATCTGTATATTTCTTGGCAGATGCTGGAGAACTGCTATATGGAGAATTATCACAGTTATTTTTAACTAGCTTTATTCTCACATGAAGACAAAAGGGGGAGAGAAAATCAAATGAACAGTAACATTTCGATGTTAAAGAATGGATACTTGAATACATTACTCATTTACGTTAGCAGCAGAGGTCAGTGAAGAAAAACACATAGTAAAGGATTATTTCTTTGGCGCTGCCAAATTTTCGCACGACAGGTTATTAAGACTCTCTTTCCCCCTGCAGCAGAATAGAGAGGCTGAAGATAAATCACACCAGAACGATAACACCAATTGCCTGTAAACTCACGACCTTAAAGAGCCATGGGATCTGTTATGACTGTATTACAACATTTTTCGTTTTTTTCTGCAGAGCAAAGAATTGGGCTTTTTCTCTCTTGGAGGGTAGAAGTGGGCTTATGGGGAAGGAAAACAGCCTGACTATAGAACAAAGTTAGCTACTACTTTGCAGAGTCTGATGAAGTGGTACTTACATTCCCCCTTCTCACAAAGAGGGTATCATGTCCCAGCTGAGAGCTCCCAAGGGGTCCCAGGATGACAGGTGGGGCAGTGCCCTGGTCCAACCCAGGACCTCCGACCCACACACAACCCATGCTTCCAGGGGCTGGGCCCATGAATGCCTGTCAGGCAAGCACTGTAACTTTTCTCAGGGGCTGTAAAGATTCAAGGCAGACTCAATGGTTTGAATCACATTGCTTTAAACAACAAAACCAAAAAGCTAGAAGAGACTCAAAGAACGTAAACGTACGCCTAAATTCAAAGACTATCCCAAACTGTTTTTCCTGCCAAATGTTCCATGCTGACCTTTCCCCTTTTAATTATGGGAAGGTGAAAGCATCAAGGCCCACCAATCCTAGCGGCTAGGCCAACAGGAGGCCCTGCACACCCTGTTTGTCAAGGCCAGGAGTTTGTGCACAGGCCCAAGCTGACTGCATTGCCCACATTTGCAGTGAAATATCTGGAACCCACTCCTTCACCAGTTAGTCGACCTCACTCACACTTCCGGGTCCCCACGAGGGGAAAGCAGGCAGGAATAAGGGCCTGCAGGTGGGATAGAACTCCCTGCCCAGGAGAAGATGTGTTTCTAATGCCCATGGCTGTGGCTAATGTCCTGACTAACGTTGGCTGCAGATGGTCGAGAAGGTGTAGACTAATTTCAAGGGCCACTTTTCTAGACCCATCTCAATGCTATCTTTAAAGACACCTTTCCTATTTATCTCTGACTATCCAACATCTGCCCCACCTCCTTGCTCTGACCAGTGCTCTCTCCTGCACCTGAATCCACCAAGCACCTCAGATGTTTTCTGCCTATTTCTTGCCCATTTCCACTCCTCTCAAGACTGCAGCTCCATGAGGACAGAGGCCTGTCAGGCAGATCTCTCATCCCCCGAGGCACGGGATGCAGGGCTCCTCCAGGAGCCCACGCATGATGCCTATGAGTGGCTCCTGACTTCTGGATCCTAAAAACCAGAGGTGTTAACCGAAGACACTTCACTGTAATTCCGTAGCTCTGTGTGGGGCGGAGGGCACAGGCTGCCTGTTGGAGCTGGTGCCCTGCTCTGCCTACTAGCTACATAACTGGGGGCTTACAACCTCCTTGACCACTCTCTGCCTCAGTTTCCTTATCTGCCAAGTGGGTAGACAGTGCTTACCTGGGAGGGTTCTTGGGGTGGAAAGGACAGATTAAATGAGCTAATAATACATGGAAAGTGACTGGAACAGCACCTAGCAGTATTATGTCTTCAACGACTATTCGCTATTACTCATCTTCGGCAATGGGAGCCACCGTCACGAGCTTACAGTCTGTGCGCAAAGTTCAAAGTGCGGCAGTAGGCCTCCAAAGTATCAACCTCTCAAAACTGCCAGGGGAAAAGAGCCCTAAGAAGAAAAAACTGCAACAGGGCTGTAGTGTGTTTAAGTGTGTAAAACTCAAGCCAACCCTGGCACCTGGCTTCAACCTTCAAACACGACATCCCCGCCCCCGCCCTGCTGGCTGGGCTGGTGGTGAATTGCTGCTCCCATCCTTTCCTTCCTGAGCAGCCGGTCCTTGGCCCCCAGCTCCCTCACACCCATGTCGGGGGGCCAGGGCCTCTTTTGTGATCCCCCGCCCCCAGTAATAACAACTGAAAAAAAATTGTTTAGGCTTTTTGGGGCAAGAGCTTCTAAATCATGGGATCCCAGAGAAACAATCCAATACTGCTGCTAGGGTGAGCTCATTCAGGGCAGGAAGGAAAGTAAGTGCCCACCAAGAAGCAGGGCCACCATCGCCACACATGGGGGGCAGGGTGGGGGCTGCCTGAGCTCCAGCCTCCGTCCTGTTACAAACACTGGAGGCTCCCCAGTGACAGACACCCCCATGGACAGCTGCAGCGATGGTCCATGGAGGGGGGAATGCAGCTTCGTCCCTGGAAAATAGAAAACGCACTGTATACCGGCACATTTAAAGGGACAAAACAGAATACACGTGACTTTCACTTTTTGCAGGATCCGTATCTGCAAATTCACCTACCCCCTAAACTGTACTTGTAACTTCATAATCAACATTGGCAGTGCTGTCATGGTCATCTGAGGATCCAAGTCACCCGAGGTGCACATGCCCAGCTGACACCGGTCAAGGCGACACTCTGCCTTCTACGTCAGCTTCCGGAGAGTAAACAAATGTCCTTTAAAGAGTCCATTTAGTGACAGGCTTTTTTCATTTTTGCTTTTTGTTGGTGATTTCACTATTTAAAATAGCCCCCAAAGGGTGAAGTCCAGTGCTCATAAGTACAGAGGCTGTGATGGACTTGTGGAGAAAACAAGCAATGGATAGATAAGCTTTGTTTGGGCAGGGCTATCAGAGCTGTTGGCCACGAGTCCAATGTTAAGGAATCAAGGATGTGTATTACATAAGACCCTTTAAACAGAAACATACATGCAACAAGGTTATGCACTGATCTGATGATGGAAATGTTATGAACAGAGGCTCATAGAAACTTAACCCTGTATTTTCTCTAGAACTAATGGTCCAGTATTCACTAATTCAATGTTTGCAGTGAAATCATAGAACATAACTACACCACAAATAATGAGAATCGATTGTTGTTTTTTTAAAATGTACTCATGTTTTCTGTCACCTAATAACTGACAGAACAGTTTGTTGGACTAGGTACAGCCAGCCAAGTTCATTTTGACACAGAAACTTTCAAGTAAATGTAATAAACATGTATTAACCACTAATGGCCAGATCTATACAAAGCCAAGGAGACACATCCCACTTTAAGGAGTTTTATACTAACAAAATTTTTTTTGATTCAAAAATAATCATAAATGTTATCAAAAAAAGAAAACTTTGGATAAAAGGAGCAAAACTTCATAAAGAACAACCTGCCACCTAATGTCTGTCTAACTCATTGATCTAATCAGATCACCTTGTAGTCACTCAATGAACTGCAACCAGAATTCTATGCAAGGAGTTTTACACATATGACCTTATTCAGTATCACAACCCTATGAGATTCACATCACCTTCAACTCTTCCATCAATGAAAAAAACCAAGCCTTAAAGAGATTTTTTTTCTCGTTGCCTCAAATCTTTCCTGCAAGTAAATTCCACCCTTGAGAAGTGAATCCCAAGTGCATTTGCCTCCAATGCTCCAGTCACTGAACCCCGTTGCTGTCCCAG